AATGCGAGGGAATTCCCGGAAGCTTGGTATTCAGACAAGGCAGCCATCAACAGGCACATAGAGATAAACAACATCTATACACTCTTCAAGACAATAGAAAGAAAAACAAAAGACCAGAACATCTCCTCACCAGCAATCATCACCCAGATAAGCAGAGATTAACACCAAGATTATCACCAGACATACAAGCAGTAAACAATACTTTAATCAAGGAACTATCAGAGGGAAAAAAAATAAAACCCACACCCCCACCAACACTGGCAGGGCATGCCACAGTCTATAAACAGAGAGCAAACCCCACTCCATTCTAGCACTGAAGATATTACCTAGCCGGGTAATGAAACCTTGTTTGCAAGAAAACAACCAAGCTCAGAGAACCCCAAGGACTCCATAGTTCAACCCTGAGCTACACATATTCGTTTCTAGTGGAAATCAGTGGCAAATCCTTCCTGGTGCAACTGGAAGCAAAGCAAATATAGAATCCCCACCACCACCAAATTGGTGTTTCTTGCAGCAAGTTTAGATAAATCATTTATTGGAAATGTACAGGTCAGTAGCCAAAAATAAATTGGGATTTGCTTCATCCACCTCTTTGGTCTGTTCAGTTTGGCAAATGGGAGCTATTAACATCCTATTGTCTAGTTTTGACAGCTATTTTACTGGACCGACTTCTTCATCTTTCCTGTTTTGATAGGTGACCACCTTTGTGAAAGGTGTTAGTTAGCTCAGCTTACATTTGTCAGGCTAGCCTAATTTTGTTGAAGACTTACTGAAGACAGCCCATCCAGCTTTTGCATAGGAGAACAAGGTGCCTGCCTTTTTTAAACGTTTCCAGATAGGCCAGTGTTTCTCAGCCTTGGCTACTTGAAGATGTGTGGACTTCAACTCCCAGAATTCTGGGAGCCAAGGTTGAGAAACTACTGTAGTAACTACTGTAGTATTTAGAAAAGAAGGGTGTTGTGGGAAGGTGGAGGTATACTAAATGGCATCTGCTACTGATCAAATCACTAGCGAACTCTGCTTCGCTCTGCATGTTCTTCCTAGGATTTCTGATTTTGTTTTTATTTAGGAAAAAAAATTGGGTGGCGTGGTACCTTAAAGATAAACTGCATTATTAAAGCATTAATTTCTGCAAGTTACTGGTTCATCAAATGTATATAAGAGGCTAAAAATGGTAGGCACAATTAAATGAATTTTAGAAATGCTAGCTAGCAAGGCAATAGTTCACTCTTACAGGTACCGTGTCAATTGGTCCTAAACTCATTCAGGCTTGCTTAGCTATAAAACTACATACAGTTTAGAGCACAAGAATGAGAAGTATTGAGAAAGAAAAAAAAATGTCTTAGTACTTGAATATATGGGTAGTCTTGTAAAAAATAGGTTACACATAAACTAGATCATAGACCAAAAACCTAGTGACCCTCTGGTGTTTTGGATGACATGCCCCAAAGATGATTAACTGTCAACTATCACTTGAGATTATGGGTATTGTACTCTAACCATCTGCCCCTTATCTTAGTTGTTGTTTTTAAAAAACTCATGTCTCAGTTTGACTTTGTCCCATGATATTTTTCAGTCCACTTTAGTTATTTGTCAGAGCTGGAGGCATTCTCTTCAATTTTTCCTGTAGCAACAAGACTATGAACTTCTAGGGCTGAGGGGAAACATGAACCAGGATCTCCCAGGTCCTAAGCAATATCTTTATCATTATACCACAACTGGCCTTCTATTACAGCATTCCTGCTTTTCTGGCAATTAGTCTTTTTTTTTTTTAGCTAATCTCAGATCTTATTCACAGAATCTTGCAGGAATACTAAGCTGTATTCATAAGTGAGATATAAAGTCTGAGGAAAAAGCAGGAATTTGGTGGCATGTTTGTATTCATTGCCATTGATATTAAGCACCAAAATATCCATTTCACTCAGGCCTTTATCAAAATATGGGACTTTCTAAATATTCTTGTGGATTGATTAGATAATTCTAATCTTGTTCATAATCCAAGTAATATTGAAGACTTTATGGAAAGCTTTCAAGTATTCTCACAGACTTGCCCACTAACTAGAATTGAGAGGTACATATTCCCTACGTAGTTAGGTGTTGCTGAATTGGGTTCAGCTCCCATTGATATATGGACAAATGCTCATTCTCTTGACCTATCTTCAGTAATAACTTGTAA